CAACCTTTGACCATTGATAGTTAACCGTTAAGTTTTGATTTGACCGTTAGCTCGGAACTTCTTGTGACTTATAGGACTTGGGATTTGGGATTTACAAGACTAAATCACCCATGACTAGTGACTCGTGACGATATCTGACCTTTAGCGTTGAAGTAAGACTTGGAACCTTTGACATTTGTTCCTTGCTGCTTGACATTTGACATATGACCTTATGCCTCTCATCTTTAACCTTGCACTTTGAGCCTTGGAACTTTGATTTGACCGTTAGCTCGGAACTTCTTGTGACTTATAGAACTTGGGATTTGGGATTTACAAGACTAAATCACCCATGACTTGTGACTCGTGACAATCTCTTACCTTTAGCGTTGAATTAAGACTTGAGACCTTTGACATTTATTCCTTGCTGCTTGACATTTGACATATGACCTTATGCCTCTCATCTTTAGCCTTGCACTTTGAGCCTTGGAGCTTTGATTTGACCGTTAGCTCGGAACTTCTTGTGACTTATAGAACTTGGGATTTGGGATTTACAAGACTAAATCACCCATGACTTGTGACTCGTGACAATCTCTTACCTTTAGCGTTGAATTAAGACTTGATACCTTTGACATTTATTCCTTGCTGATTGACATTTGACATATGACCTTATGCCTCTCATCTATAACCTTGAACTTTGAGCCTTGGAGCTTTGATTTGACCGTTAGCTCGGAACTTCTTGTGACTTTTTGGACTTGGGATTTGGGATTTACAAAACGAAATCACCCATGACTAGTGACTCGTGACGATCTCTGACCTTTAGCGTTGAATTAAGACTTGAGACCTTTGACATTTATTCCTTGCTGCTTGAAATTTGACATATGACCTTATGCCTCTCATCTTTAACCTTGAACTTTGAGCCTTGGAGCTTTGATTTGACCATTAGCTCGGAACTTCTTGTGACTTATAGGACTTGGGATTTGGGATTTACAAGACTAAATCGCCCATGATTTGTGACTCGTGACAATCTCTTACCTTTCACGTTGAATTAAGACTTGAGACCTTTGACATTTATTCCTTGCTGCTTGACATTTGACATATGACCTTATGCCTCTCATCTTTAACCTTGAACTTTGAGCCTTGGAGCTTTGATTTGACCGTTAGCTCGGAACTTCTTCTGACTTATAGGACTTGGGATTTGGGATTTACAAGACTAAATCACCCATGACTTGTGACTCGTGACAATCTCTTACCTTTAGCGTTGAATTAAGACTTGAGACCTTTGACATTTATTCCTTGCTGCTTGACATTTGACATATGACCTTATGCCTCTCATCTTTAACCTTGAACTTTGAGCCTTGGAGCTTTGATTTGACCGTTAGCTCGGAACTTCTTGTGACTTATAGGACTTGGGATATGGGATTTACAAGACTAAATCACCCATGACTTGTGACTCGTGACAATCTCTTACCTTTAGCGTTGAATTAAGACTTGAGACCTTTGACATTCATTCCTTACTGCTTGACATTTGACATATGACCTTATACCTCTCCTCTTTGACCTTGCACTTTCAGCCTTGGATATTTGACTTTGCGTCTTGAACCTTGATCTTAGACATTGGACTTTACATTGAGGACCTTTGACGAGTGACCTTAGATCGTTCGCCTTGCATTACTGACTTTTTCACCATTAACCTTTGACAATTGATCTTGAACTTTTGACCATTGACCTGTGACCTTCGACATTCAACCATTGATCCTTGGGCATTATATTTTGAATGTTGACCATTGGAATTGACTTGTTTTGAGTTAGGACATATAAGATTAATGACTTATGGTTTGTGAGTCGCAACTTGTCGTATATGACTCGTGACGATCTGTGACGTTTGACCTGACCTTTGGTGTTAGACCTCTGACGGGTGAACCAAGACTTGTGACCTTTGGCAATTATCCTTTGCTAGTTGACATTTAGCCTTGACCTTTTACTTTGCACCTTAGTCCTTGAATATTTGACTTTGCATCTTGAACCTTTGGTCTCAGAAATTGGATCTAGGACATTTGACAATTAACTACTGCCCTTTCATAATTGACCTCAGATGGTTGGTCTTTTACCTCTAACCTTTTTACCATTAACTTTTGACAGTTGTACTTAGACTTTTGATCATTGACCTTTGACATTTGACCATTGAGAATTGGATTTTGTCCATTGAACATTGAAATGGACCGTAGGCTCTCACAACTTGTGACTTGTTGTAACTTAGGATTTAGGACTTGGGACGAATCATTAATGACCTTAGACATTGGATTTTGAGTCTAGGAGCTTCCAGCACTGGCCTTTTGTAATTGACCTTAGACCTTTGGATAACTAACTTTTTTACCATTAACATTTGACAAACGATCTTTGACTTTTGATCATTGACATTTGACCTTCGACATTTGACCATTGATCTTTGAGTATTCGATACTGAGCGTTAACTGACACTAATAGTGCTTCCTTTTCTGGTTCCAGACAAATTCCCCTATTTGAGAGAATCTACATTTGGAACCTCATCTTAATCGGAATACTCGGTGGAGCAGCTTCAACCTTTAGTGCAATCAAGGCCATAGCAGCTCAGGATAGCTTCACGAAGCCGTGTTGGTGGCACCTGTTCAACGATATCAGCGAAGGATCTCTCACGGATATTGATCAACATGTTGCTCAAACTCATCCTGTGAGCCAGTTGGCGCCTTAAATAATCAATTTTTGTGATATACTGATATATGTGATATTATATTGCCCAGTTACATAATATGTTATATGTTCATTTTGTAACTGTAACTGTATATCATTTATTATGAAAAGAATTTTGTAATTAACTGTATTTATTTACACATTTTTGGTTCTAAATCACGGGGATTCCAAGAAGCTCATTTAACAAAACAAAATCGTGATCACAAAGCTTCATTTTTCACCGCAGCGATGTACAGCACTCACACGCTTCAGTCTCTCGGCAACCGTCGGCGCAGCGGAATGTCTAGGCGTTCACGGCTCCGTACAGAGCTCTATTCGGTTTAGCTACTTTTTTTTAGTAGTGGTGTTCACTATAGGATTCTCGATTGTCTCTCAGTATTGCTATGGTATTTTAGTGTTGTGACGTGGGTGTCAAGTGTCTCCAAAGTGGAAATTCGGTCTACCTCCAGCTCTTCTGAGGGAAAGAGGAAATCTGTGCAGCAAACTAGGGGATACTCAACTACTTGTGTATTAGGGTTGACATAATATTAGTCAAAGATTCACTTCCAAAGCGACTCATTTTCACTACATAAGCTGACTAGCATTGTTTAAAAACAAAATTACAAAATCTAGCCTAGCGTCGTTTTCAGGCGTCGTAGAAGGCCATAATTACTTGTTCTCAAAGGTATTGTAATTTTTGCTGGTGACAACAGCCGTCAAGTTTTGCCGCGGTTAAACTGGAAGAAAATTCTGGGCATTTATAAAAGTGTTCAGAGACATTAACGTTCCGCCGCATAGGCGCCAGGGACGCGAAATGTAAATGACAGCCTTTTTTAGTTTTTTGGCAAACATATTTACGTCTCAAATTTTATATATCTCTTTTGGTATCCCTCAATATATTATTCAAAGCTTCTTTTTTTATAACATTCTAGCAAAATAGCAGAGAGAGCAAAATTGTCCAATGAGCTGGCAACGCAGCGATCCAGGTGACAAGAATGACAAGATCAACTGCCAAAACGTATGTCTATCGCGGGGTAACGACGGAGTCATATAGTACGTTAAAGCGGCAGTTTTTCAATCTTGATTTGCATTTTTTAAGCGGTGTGCAACGATTTCGAGAAAAATTTCGCTACGGATCGTCTTCTAGAGTCTAGAAGAGTACACATATTTCAATACTTGTCTGGCGTGGCCATGTTATCTTTACTTACAAATTCATAATTAAATTCAAGCGGATAACCAAATGGAAATGGTATTTACCATTTTGGGTTGGTATTTACCAATCCGTTCAAGCGAGTGTAGTTATCAGTTTGGTTATAAGATCCGTGACGTCACGAATCAGCTGTTATATGTCATAGTTATCACCGCAAAATTGTGGTATTTACCCAACTCAAGAGTAGTTTTATATTTCTGGTTATTATTTGAAATGTGACAAGTTAGAATTTTGCCGGGTATTGGATATTGTTATTGTACTTCAGCTTCATTTTTGAGAAAAATGATACAGGCTGACCTCAGATTTACCATAAAGTGGAGCACCTTATTAGTTATACTCATTACGGTTGTTGGCGACACTTTAAATGTAGTTCTTATGCTTAACAAAGTATCCTGTGTAGCCATATACCACAAGAATATTAAAATATGGCCATATAAACTCACTAGATGATATCCACCTGTATACGGTTTTGCTAATTTCTTTTTTCATCATTTCTGCTGAATCAATAAATGTTTTCTTTGACATGCGGAAAAATTTAGAGTATTGAAAGTTATCATAGCTACAAAGCCATGGTTCCATCATTAAAAAAAAATCTGAAAACAACATTTTTCCCATGAATATTATGAAAGGTTTCTTATTTAAACTTTCCATGTACAGTTGTAGACGAAAAAGCACCGATTATTAAGTGATAATAAAAGTAATCAGAGATTATATAAGCGCTTTTCTGAAATAAACAACTTGCAACAAAACCGCGATTAAAACCAACGCGTTCAAGCGATTCGTGTAACTGACGTCATCAACCCGTGTGTCATCTTGAACCATATTATAACCGCGGCACATAACACAGAAATTTTGGTTATTCGCTGGGATTTGATTATAGTACGTTAAAGAGGCAGTTTTTCAATCTTGATTTACCTTTTTCGCTACGGATCGTCTTCTAGAGTCTAGCTGAGTATATTTCAATACTTGTATGTCGTCGCCATGTTATCTTTACTTACAAATTCATCTACCTATAGAACTGGTTTGTAGCCACCGTTAGCGTAAAAGCTGAACGCACTCCTAAAAAAAAAAGGGTTGGCACCACTGGTAACGCTTAAGAGTGACAACTGACATAAGTCAGACGTCGAGCGAAAGAAGCTGCTTCTAAGCGAATGAGGCTCATCGATTTTTGTCGAATTTTTGTTATTTGCAATCGATAATTTGAGTTTTCGCACAACAGAGAGCATCAGTGATATTCAGAGTGCATTTCCAATCGATTTGCTGTACGCTGAGACGTTCAAAAAACCGTAAAAATGGCTATGACATCGTCGCAAGTGAAGGCAAGGGAGCAGCAAAACAATATGGCCAATCTTGCCGGTAGTGGAACAGGATGGCCGCGAAGAAATAGTCAAAATAACGCCGTCACGCCCGTTCCAAACCCAAATTTCGAGGTGAAACCGAATTTCGAAGTGAAGCCACAATTTCCTATCACACCAGCCATTAATCGCATCATTAATTTGTAAGTATTTTTATTCTCGAATACGATATACTGCACAATGCTTTTTGTTGCTGTTAACGTTATCATTGCCAATCATTTCATCTCAAGATTCACACATAAAAAAGTACATTAATCAATTCTGCAGCACATTGGTATAAACTTTGCCTGGGAAATGGTCTAGTGAAACTGCTTTGTTACTTGAAACTTTCGTAATACAGTGAAATTAGACATAGATCCTTGATCATTGTAGTCTCAGATTTTTTGTGTAAGAAGTTGGTATAATGTAGGTTGGAAACAGATTTTAATAGACAATAGATCAAGGTAAGGATAAAAGGAATATAGAAAATTATAGTACAAGAAACAAATTTTACATTCTCCTACTCAAATAATTAAAAAAAGAATTTGAGATTACATAAACCTTATTGCCTTTAAGATTTGAAGTATGTACTCCGAGTTTTCAAGGACTTTTAGATTATTCATAACCAGTGACACTGTCTTTCTTTTCGAATTTATTCACTAAAATTGTATAAATATTGTGAATGAAGTGATTATTTATTAATATCGGTCTCCATGGTTCTGATTCATTAGTAATAATAATAGCTTTTATTTAACATGGTGTCAGCTAAAAGCTGCTTTTCATTCCAATCAGGACCAAACAAAATTACCAACAAACACCAAAATGCTAAGATTTACAACAAAAGTTATAGTTAAACAACGTAAAAGGTGAGATGTGGAGAAACAAGTAAACAGTTGTTTCAAGTAGGCAATAGAATAAAAATAGGGAAAATGTCAATTCCAACTGAAAAAATCTGATATACTTAGAGTTAACAAAAATACCATTACACATTCCCAATTAATAGGATTTTTAATGTTTTTATTATTTATAATTATTACATTTGCGTACTTTGAAGATGCCTTTTTTCCTGTAGGTATCCTTTGACAAATTACATATTTGGAACAAAAGAGCCTCTTTTCGAAAAAGATCCCAGTGTTCCGGCAAGATTCCAGAGAATGAGAGATGAGTTTGAAAGGATAGGCATGAGGCGTAGTGTTGAAGGTGTACTTTTAGTGCATGAACATGGCTTGCCACATGTTCTGTTGTTGCAGTTAGGAACTACATTTTTCAAACTGCCAGGTGGAGAGCTGAACCCTGGCGAAGATGAGGTAGAAGGGTTGAAAAGACTACTCACAGAGGTATGTGATTATGGTTTAGATCTACTATTCGAAGATTGTAGTTGATGAATAATGTTATTTATGATAATTTTGATGTTATCTTTTTTGTTTAATGAAGACTGGATAATACTGAATTCTATGATTATTTCATTATACCTCAAGATAGTCAGCCTAATGCTAAATTCCCACATAAAAAGAAAATTATTTGAGATGAAATGAGTTAGTGTCATATATGAGAATTTTTCACTGCTGTTTCTCTATTTAGTATATTTACTTTCAAAAGGCTAGTGTCTAGATGGTGCTGAATCCAAATATATGAGCATATACCTTTTCAAAATATAGATAGTAAATGGAGAAACAGCTTATCTCATTTTATCTGCGATAAATTTTTGGGTGCATGAATATAGCATTTGGGTAAAATATGTTGATCATTGGTTGTATATGTGATTAATCGTTCTATATGGGCTTCAGTTATGTAATTTCTATAAATATGTTGATAAATATATAAAAAGATGAAATGTTACTCTAATACAAGGGTAGGAATATCACTTCTAAAAAGATTGTGAACAAATAGGTACCTCATGTTTTGAAAATGCAGATGTATAATTCATATTTTTTATACTGTGATGTGGAATCTAAAAAAAATTAGAACTATGAAAATATAATTATAAATTATAATTTTACCTTGATATTGTGCTTGATAGTATAATCTCATATGGGCTTTATTGAATATTTGTGAATATATGGGACTTACACTTTAAAAATAACTAAAACTTTAAGGGAAAGGATTATGTATAAAAAGCTAGAATTGGGATAAGCACAAGGGACTCAAGTGGTATAGTGTATCAAATCTCAAATTAGTAAGAATTTACTATGTTAAAAACACTTATATTCTTTGTGCTCTATTTAATGATTAAATATATTGATAAAAAATTAGCAAAAAATGAGAATTTCAATATGTCATATTTAGTGATACAGAAATCTGTTACTATAAACATGACCTTGTTATATAGATGCTTGTTTTATCTTTATGTAGATATATAAAAAATACTGGAAGAATTTTTTGAGGCTATTTAGAAAAGTTGAAATGTGATGTGCCTTTGAATTGCTGTTTTTATTTTTGTTTATTATTTGGTATGTATATAAATATGTGCTGCTTCTACATCCAAGGTTATTTTAATGATAAATTATTTGGACTTTTTATTTTGAAATTCTTCTTTTGGAGCAGAGTGTCATTCTTCTGTTAGAATGAAAATCTTCAAAAATTGTATCATGAGTGTACAGATACTTTGTTGCAATATTTTCGTACCTGCTGGTTTTTGATGCAGTTTTCATAATAGAGTGTTTACTCAATGATCGCAGTATTTGAAGTTGATAATCCAAAACAAATTTTTAGTGAAGTTCAGAAAGTTTAAGTAATTAGAGTTTTCTATTTGTCTAGTACCGATTATTCACTTTCAAAAATTAAAAACTGATACTGCTGCTTTGGATTTTCAACTTCGATAAGACTTGCAACATATTTCCACCATTATGAAGGATAAATAGTATGTATTTCCAAGGTAACTGGTTATAAAAAATATATCCATTTTTTTCTACAAGATACAAGTCTAGCACAAAAAGGTGGTGGTGGTACATTCTATAATTATTTTATTTAAAAATCCTTTTACCAAAGACTGCAAAAAACCTAAAAAATTAACGTGTTGGTTTTCAAATAAAAATAAAATTTGTGCTGGACATGGTATTACAAAGATAACATAGTTGAAGCATTGTACATTGGTTTGGGATTCAAGTATTTTTATATTGACATGCTGCTTAGTAATATCACTGTAATGCAATGTGTACCATTGTTAAGTAGTAACTGATATTTATTAAAACCGTTGTTAATTCATCATGAAAAAGTAACATTGTAATTAATGAGAAAGAAAAAAGAAAACATTGACATAGATTTTTAGGTCCTCTTTTGTGTTGTTTTTTTTTTGTAACTTTTTTCCATAAATGGAGACAATATTTCAAGATCTCACTTTCCACATGATCAGAATCCTTTATTATATACAAACCTTTTTGTGCTTATTCAACCCTACTAATATTATAATGATATAAATAGCTGGTTGGATCTGAATAAAATCTGTTACAGAGATAGATTATAGTCTGGAATAGTCTACTATTTATCATGGGAAACAACTTTGAAATATCCATTTTGTGCCCAAACAGCTTAATGAAATTTGACCTGAGCGTAAGCATTCAGTCGCTGGTCCGACCGAAATGACTAAGTGTATAGCGTTCAGTCACTGGTCCGACCGACATGTCAGCGTGAGCGTCTCGGTTTAGATTTGTTTGGCGTTTTGTTTTACTGTATTGTTTGTGGATATTTTTCTTTAGAATTTTTGAAAGCATGAGTAACAATCTAATAATAAGATTTAGACTGTTTATGGTGGTATCTTTCTCTGAAAAAAATTAATTATATGACTGATATGAAAGAAGGTTGCAGTAAGACTTTGATCATAATGAGTGTCAGTTTCCTTTGAGGTCATTGACAAAATACTTGTATGTGCTCTAACCTGAAGCAATCAGAAATGATGGAAGCAAATTTTCTAATTTTTAAAAAATTATAACCTCTTGATTGCACGTAAATACAGGGTTGTTATGTTTTAATCAAAATGTTAAAACAAGTGTTTAAAACAATGAAGGTGTTTTAAACCAACTTGCTTAAAACATGATTTAATGTTTTTTTGTCGTTTGTGAATTATTCAAGATTATTTTATATTTTTTAGTATGATTAAAATTGATTTTATTTTGTAAAATGAAGGCCATATGTTAAAACACATAGGTACTAAAAAATATACTTTATTTTTTATTAATTAATCAAACATGAAACTAGGGAACTAATACTAGTGGAAAAAAATATGTTTCTTAATAGTGACTGAAATTAATAAACTGCATTTAACTCTAATATTAATATGCCTATGTATTTACTTGTATAATAACTGGATCAAAAATAGTAATAACACTTTCAAGGAACTTGATTAACGTTACTTACACATTACAATCTTTTTTTTACTGTTTAAAACATTTTAAATGTTTTTTTTTTTTTCAGCTAAATTCGAATGTTTTAAACAAAAAAACATGAATTTCTTTTAACATGTTTTTTCAACCCTGCGTAAAAATGTTCAGAAACTTGTGAAGCATACAAAAACAAACTTTGGGACGATCTTAAAGCTATATTAATTTTTATTCGTTGCCATTTTTACGATTTTCAAAAATTTATACTTCAAATTTTACCCTCCATAGAGTAGCCTCAGATTTAGACTAGTCGACATGTCGATCATTTGAATCAAAAAACATTTTCTGTAACTTATGTATAAATATCATTTTAGATATAAATAATGTGAAATGATTTTTACCTTCACATTAGTTTTTCACGATTATATGATTTCTATCATCTAGATAAGTTTATATTATACGAGGGTTGTTTCAAAAATAAGGTTCCCACACTGTTTCAGGCACAAGGAATTTTTTTATTTAAAAAAACAAATTCACCATTGGAAACGTTGATTGTTGAGCTATTTTTCTCCATAATCGCCATTTTTCCGCCACCACCAGCCCGTTTAGAAACTTGTTGACCGCCTAGGTGCTCCCTCAATTTCGGAAATCGCCAATTCATTGGATTAAGTTGGGAGACATGAGGATGAAAATTGTTTTAGTGCAGTCTTGCGCTTTGATTTTGAATTGCCCGTCTCAGTTTTCTCAGAAACCTCGGGAAATTCAACCGCCTGTTCGCCGATCTTCGAGCAAGATATGCTCAATCCTGACGGCGCCCTATTTTTGAAGCAACCCTCGTATAACGTCGAGGAAACATCGCGATTTCGAAATTTTTGCCGAGTGGCGTACGAAGTAAAAAAGGTGTTTCAGCTATGTTAACTGACTTGATCGAGAAACTGTACAAATTGCATGATGTATAGAAAAAGGCGAAAATAAACGATTAAAAACCTCCTGTCTTTTCTGTGTCTGAGCGCGTTTCTGGCGTCGCTTCGTTATCTGCTCATGTCGAGTTGTTGCAGACCCTCGGGCGCTTGGACGGCGTCAAGCAAGACTGGCTGGTGGAAGACATCATCGGAAACTGGTGGAGGCCCAACTTCGAACCTCCTCAATATCCGTACATCCCGCCGCACATCACCAAGCCGAAGGAGCATAAGAGGCTATTCTTAGTACAACTCCAGGAGAAGGGTATTGTATTTTATGAAAATATCGAATATGAAGAATGTATCTGTATGTGTATCTTGACTGTTTTGGCTATTTTTCAGCAGATGGTGATTTCAAAAAAAAAAGTATCTGTAAGCGCCCGAAAAAGTATAAAAACGCCAGGCCGAACGCGTTTGTCGGGTTAAAGACTGCGTGCTTAATACACAGGATGCATTCAATCTGAAGTGTTTGAAGACAAAAGAAAAAGAGCCAAAATAGCTGTAATTCTGTAAATTACGTTTTACAATTCAATTGATTCTGGTTCTTATTTAATTAAGAAATACCGAAGAATACAGAGTTACCAGTCGAAAAAACAGATTTTGCCTCGGTGGCCGAGATCTGGTACGATCACCCGTTCATTACCTGCCGTAATAGTCCAGGAAGTATCTTCGCATTCTGATTAGATCTGTTGGACTACCTTAATGAAAACGAAAAACGGTTTTTGGCGCAATTTTAGGTCTTTCAATATGCAGACTCATTATAAGGGAGTTTGCGAAAAAACAATCAGAATATTTTTCTAACAGATGCGAAGATACTTCCTGTACTATAACTACCCAGATAGTCGATGGCCGGCATCCGATCCCGTCGGAAGTATGTCGCGTGACTGTTGAATGTGTGACTTTTTGTAGCTTTGTTGAATGTGTTCAGTTTCGCTTTACCTTGTGAACAGTTTTCTGCTGATCATTGTATTTCACTTTAGACACAAGTTCGGATTTATTTTCAATTCAAATATGTCAAAAGGGATATAGTTGCTACCAGGCAAATAGGGCTAATCCTAAATGGAGAACCTTAATCGTCTATGGATTTATCGAAATAAGTCAGAACAAAGTACCATCGGTCACCGCGAAAGTGAAAACATTTAGGTCAGATCAAACGCTATTTCGCGAGTGCCCGTTCTGCTGGCAACTTTGTATTCTTTGGAAATACCTTATTCGATTTCCTTGTATACGAAATAATTTTTCTAACTGAACCAGGATCAAATGAAAAGATAACTCCACAATTTAGGCATTGTTTACATAGATTATCTTTTGTGATCATTTTTCAATAAATACACATAAACAGTGCTTATTTTTTCATCAATTATAAACTGTGCAGGGAGTCCCATTTTGGTGATATAAAAACATGCCAACATGCTTACATCAAAAGTAAAGCCAAACACTAAATTATTACAACACTGTGCCCAGTAAAATTTGGATAAATTACTTACTGGAGATTGACATGTTTTTATAAATATGCACTACTGTCGTAAAAGTCTAAATAATAAGTTTTATGCTGTAAGATTATTTAGATATCTGACCATTTTTATTTTATGAAAATGCGTTTAGAGTAGAAGTAGACTTGTAGGATAATGGTTTTTTTTCTGAGATATGCCTTCAACTAGCACTTGTAATGATAAAAATTATTATTCAAACAAAAGATTCGACATGAAAAGTTTTTAATACCTTCTTATCAACCCGATATTTGAGGGCATACTTCCATACCCTACACATGGAAAACGTTCTTCATTCAGATAAGAATTGCTAAGTTTGCTAGCTTTGGGAATTCGTTACCTATAATTCAGCAGTCAGTCCCACTTTAATTTTCTTGTTAAGAATATATCATTGTTCTGTGTTATGATGGCAGTAATTTAGTGTAGTTTCCAGTTTTTGTAAAAATCGCTTGTCTCATTTCATTTTGGAGAAATTTTGATAAGGTATACAAGGTCCTATTGCAATCTCTCCTAAGTATTTCTAAAACTGCTCGTTCGAAAAAGAAGTTCTAAACAAAAGTTTTTAGGGGGTAAAATGATAGTGACCCTATGACCTTTAAGGTCCTTTCAAGGTCAAGCAAATCTCCCCTTTTCACGTCGGAATTGGTTAGAGGAACAAATTTTACGCTCAGACATTTCCATGGCCTTGACCATTGTCTTCAAGGTTAAACTGATGATGACCTTGATTACGACCTTCATGGTCAAGCGAACCCTCTTTTCCTCTTCAGAATTGGTTAGAGGAGTAAATTTTACGTTCAAACATTACCTTACCGATAACCTTAACCAATGCCTCCAAGGTCATAGTGGTATTGACCTTGACTGCTACCTTCTAGGTCGGGCGAACCTCCCTTTTTCCATCGTAATTGGTTATAGGAACAAATTTTACGCTTAGACATTCCTATGGCTTTGACCATTGTCTCCAAGGTCAAATGATGCTGACCTTGTCTAAAATCCTCAAGGTCAAGCGAACCTCTTTTTCATATCGGAATTGGTTAGGGGAGCAAATTTTACGGTCAAACGTTGCCATGGCCTCGACCATTGTCTCCAAGGTTAAAATGATGATGGCCTTGACTACGACCTTCAAGGTCAAGCGGACCCTCTTTTTTCACATCGTAATTAGTTAGAGGAGCAAATTTTACGTTCAACGATTACCTTGGATATGACCTTGACCATTGCCTTCAAAGTCATTACAAGGCCAAATCGACAAATAAAACAATCTGCGCTAGCAAATACGTTCGACAGCACAATTGTGGGATTTGATCACCCCAAGGTGAACTTGGCTATGACCTTAGCCATGACCTTCAATGTATTTAAAGGAAACCTCTAATTTTTATACCGGAAATAGAAAAAGCAGGAAATTTTACTTCGGAATATGGTCTTTTCCTGAAATAACATCGACACGACCTTGACTTTGTAGTCAAGGTCACAGTCGTGCTCAAATTTAACCGGCTTTCCAGTTTCAAAATGATAAGTTTCCCAAGGATATTTTGACTTGACCTTGACAGTCATGGTCAAGGTCGCCTGTGGTTGATCCTACAAAAATTGGAACAAGTTTTTTTCGTTTTGAATTGACCTCGAAATGGCCTTAAATGGAATATTCAAGTCATAGCCATTTTCGGACGTACAATTAGCTCCTCTATTCAATTCTGATGAGAAAAATGGGGGTTTCCATTGGAAATTATTTGTTTGGCCTTGAAGTGACCTTGGACGTTGTAATCAAGGTCACCGTCATTTTGCCCCTCAAAACCGTGTAACTAATTTTTTTTCTCAAAGGCGTAGTTTTCGAAATTTTTAGGTGGGAAGACCACAATGTGACATTGATTTTTGACCAGGAGATTCTAGAAGACATCTTACAATGCTGCTAAAATATGGGTAGCTATTGTATGAATGAACATTGAGTGAATTTTGTCTGAAATCTAATGTCACATGTATTCGATTTCATAAAAACCTAAAACATGATTGACATTTGATCTCTTTGAGTGAATTTTATGTGGATGTTTGATCAGATTGTATATAAATTTAAGGTTTGAAAAAATAATATAATCGCGTATACTTATTTAAAGAAAACGGGACTTGTTAATTCGGCTTAAGCATGTCAATACAACTTTAGTTTACACCTGCCTATGTTTCATTTATAATATGTATGTTTTTTTTTTTTGTTTTTGCCATGAGATTACCGTTAATACATGTATGCTTTCCTGAAAACGAACGTTGTACGTCTTTATTGTTAACTGATGTGCCTTATTTTTCAAAATTAAAACTTTTTGAAACGATCTGGATTAATATGCAATTAAACTTCGACTGTATTGTTTTGAAACTCTAAGATAAGCGCGTTTTTATCCATATTTTCTATAACACCCTGAATTGAAGGTAAAAGTAATTTCAACTTCACTTTTTGTCAATCTGTAACACTAAATACTTTTACCTCCAGTTTCTAATCTTTTTCTGTCTTCCTCGAACGCTGAAGTGACTGGCTCTACGTTTTATTTTTCTTTTTACAGCATTATTCGCCGTACCCAAAAACTACAAGCTAGTAGCAGCACCGTTGTTTGAGTTATATGACAATTCCCAAGGTTATGGACCGATAATATCGTCATTACCGCAGGCGTTATGCAGGTAAGCTGATGTGCGAGGGTGCGACTTTATGGCCCTTTCAAGTCCAAACGAACCCCACCTTTTTACATCAGAATTGGAAAGAGGAGCAAATTTTACGTTCAAGCATTACCTTGATCATTGTCGTCACGGTCAAAATGATGATGACCTTGACTACGACCTTCAAGGTCAATTGATCCCCGTAGTTAACATCGGAATTGGAAAGAGGCAAATTTTACGTTCAAACGTGACCTTGACCATTCAAAGGTCAAAATGAACGTGACCTTGGCGGCGATCTGTAAGGCCAAGCGAACCCCCTTGTTACATCAGAATTGGAAAGAGGCTCAAAATGATGGTGCTCTTAACTACTACTTTTAAGGCCCTTTTCAAGGCCAAACGAACCCCCCTTTTTCACGTCGGAGTTGGAAATGTAGCAAAATTTACGTTCAAACATTACCGTGGCCATGACATTGACCATTGTCTTCAAGGCCTTTCCAATGTCAAAATAATGGTAACCTTGACTACGACGTTTAATGTCCCTTCAAGGGTCAAGCGAACCCCCTAGTTCACATTGGAATTGGAAGGAGCAAAGTTTACGCCTAAACATTCTCTTGGCTATGACCTTGACCATTGTATTCATGGCTATTCCAAAATGTTGGTGACATTGACTACGACCTTTAAGATCATCTCAAGGTCAAGCGAATGCCCTAGTTCATATCGGAATTGAAAAGATGAGCAAATTTTATGTACAAACATTGCCTTGACTATGACCTTGAGCATTGCTTTCAAGGCCTTTCCAAAGTCAAATTAAGACATCGAAAATAATTTGCTCTAGCAAAACTGTTCGACAGAACAGTTGTGAGATTTGTAGGGATCACCCACAGGTGACCACTATGTCTTCGGGGTAAATATTTCCAAAGGAAACCTCTCAAAGACTGGAGATGGAAAAAGCAGGAAATTTTACTTCAAACTGTGACCTTGACCTTGAATAACATTAGGCTTGACACGACTTTGACTTTGAGGTCAAGGTCACATTCGGACGTAAATATTCCTGCTTTTTCCATTTGCAATATAGAAAATTAGTAAATTTTTTGTAGTGGTTAAAAATTGGGGGGTGGGGTTGTGTATATCTCAATTTTTCGACGTTTGTATAGTTATACGCCTCCAATATTTCTACGTACGTATGATGTCCCCGTGAATTTATCCGTAAAACTGCGCCGTGGTCCCCCGATGGACAAGCGTCGTCGTCGGTGGTCGTCCGTCACAGTCGGCAATCGCTTCCGCACTGCCGTGGACTGCGTGCACTGTGCGTGGTGAAGGTCAATATCGTCATTCATCGTTTTTATTTGTTTCAGGTTTCAATTCATCTACATGTGATTGGCAAATAGTACAAACAAAGTTCTCGCAGCATACGGTAATAAATATTACTCTTTTAGTTGCCTTTAATTCTGGGTATAAGGTTATTATATCTACTTTCTGTAGCATATTGATCGAGTAGGCGTCTTATTTTCCAGTTCAACAATAACAAATATATTCTATTTTTTTCAGGTGGTTACAATGGGTGATGTTAGAAATACGTCATTTGGTCAGAATCGCAACGTTTGCATAATATTAAGATCTATATGTATTCTTTTTAATTAAAAGAGACCAGTTTTGTATAGTTAACAATTAACTATTTTAGTGCTATCACTAAAACCGTTTTCTGACAAAAAAAGTGTACGTAAATGTTTGACCAACAAATAATAACCTTCTTTTTGATGGACTTTTGACAAAAGACAGCTCACTTTACTTTACATAATTGTTTTGTCGGGGACGATTCAGTTATTACATAAGCACTAATCTACATGACGATTATGTCAGCAATACCGAATTTTTTTTACTCATTCGGATTTTCTACAAAATTTAGGTTATTTTGTATTTGAACACATATGGCACCCTGTATGTCTATGCTTCCTTTTCCTGGCAATGAGGGTGTTAATAATTGAAAAAAGCTGCTTACAACGTTCCCGTGGTAAAATTAATAAGTTTTCTTGGATCAATTTTAATTTGCAGCAATTATTTTTCTGTATTTCCGATTCTTCAGTCATGACAGAACCACCTTGAATTGCAATAATTTTTTCTGATTTTTAGTGTGTTTGCTCATTGTTCCGCAAACTTATTTTCTTATCATTTCAATGAATGTTGCAGAGATACAGGGTGTTAAAAAACATATAACGCAAAATTTAATCAAACGTTTATTATAATTACAAAAATAAAATATTCCATTTATGGATCGTCATATTTACTTTCAGTTTCAAATATATTTTAAATTCACCAATTTTGTTATCATCGGTATTTCCCGTCTTTTGCCTAAATGTCATCACGAAAAAGGTTTGATTATCCAAACTCGTCGATTTCTCTATAGTATTTTAGTACATACGTGTATATTATTCAAAGAAATCTTAGAAGTAAGATTTAATGTTAGGGCTTTTGTAAGTTGAATGCAATAAAGATTGTGTTTTTATTTTTTATCTGATGCTGACTTGAGTGTCTTATTTTATCCCAGGAACAAATATACGTATACAGGATCTTCAAATCAATTTATATTTACGACTGATTACAGATAAAACAAACAGGCCCCTTGACAGTATTCGTTTTTTCCTTATCGGCTGTAAGAGAACCTCGTGTATTTTTAAACATCGACGTTCCAAGGAAGTATCACCTCTCGAGCTGCTTTGTGGTTATTCTTAAGATTTTGTGTTCTCAAAACTTCTCATCAGTAGAAAAGGAAATCGTATAACCTGCAGCAAAAGTTTGAGATATGGCAACGCTGGCGCCTAAAGATGGTGCCCATTTTAACGCCACCTAAATATTTCGAAAACTACGCACGTTCATTGGAAAGGAGAACCACCATCATGACCTTCACCATTACCCTCTAGGTCAAGAGAATATCTTCAAATGGACCCCAATTTTTTTCAACTCTAAATGGAAATTCTGTGAATATGACAATAACCATCATGACCTTCAAGGCTACTTCAACCACAAAACAATTTGATATAGTGAACATGTTCGACAGCATGTTTGAAAGTGATCTTGACCTTGAGGGTCCAATCTAAATTTCAAAGGAAACCACATTTTTATACCTGAATTGGGAAACCTTACGTTCTGATGTGATCTTGACCTTCAAGATCAAGTCTAAATTTTCAAAGGTAACAACATTTTTATACCGAAGTTGCGAAGCGTTGCGTACGAGTGTGACCTTGACCTTCAGGGTCAAATCTAAATTTTCAAAGATAACCACATGTTTATACCGGAATTGGGAAACGTTGCGTCCGAATGTGACCTTGACCTTCAGGGTCAAGTCTAAATTTTCAAAGGTAACCACATTTTTTATACCGAAGTTGGGAAACGTTGCGTCCGAATGTGATCTTGACTTTCAAGGTCTAGTCTAAATTTTCAAAGATAACCACACGTTTATACCGGAATTGGGAAACGTTGCGTCCGAATGTGACCTTGACCTTCAGGGTCAAGTCTAAATTTTCAAAGGTAACCACATTTTTTATACCGAAGTTGGGAAACGTTGCGTCCGAATGTGACCTTGACCTTCAGGGTCAAGTCTAAATTTTCAAAGGTAACCACATTTTTTATACCGAAGTTGGGAAACGTTGCGTCCGAATGTGACCTTGACTTTCAAGGTCAAGTCTGAATTTTCAAAGATAACCACATGTTTATACCGGAATTGGGAAACGTTGCGTCCGAATGTGACCTTGACCTTCAGGGTCAAGTCTAAATTTTCAAAGATAATCACATTTTTATACCGAATTTGAGAAGCGTTGCGTACGAGTGTGACCTTGACCTTCAGGGTCAAATCTAAATTTTCAAAGATGACCACATGTTTATACCGGAATTGGGAAGCGTTGCGTCCGAATGTGACCTTGACCTTCAGGGTCAAGTCTAAATTTTCAAAGGTAACCATATTTTTTATACCGAAGTTGGGAAACGTTGCGTCCGAATGTGACCTTGACTTTCAAGGTCAAGTCTAAATTTTCAAAGGTAACCACATTTTTTAAACCGAAGTTGGAAAACGTTGCGTCCGAATGTGACTTTCAAGGTCAAGTCTAAATTTTCAAAGATAACCACATGTTTATACCGGAATTGGGAAACGTTGCGTCCGAATGTGACCGTGACCTTCAAGGTCAAGTCTAAATTTTCAAAGGTAACCTCATTTTTATTCTGGTATTGAGAAACGTTACCTCGAAGCCAAGGTCTTTTCAATCTTAAATGTTATTTGTAGAGAAATCCCTTGACTTCCAAAATTGCGAAGCTAGAATTTTTTTAACGTGTAAAGTAGCGACATAAAACAAACTAAATACAAGGAATAGAAATACGTTGCACATTCTAAAGCTGTCTACAAAAAAATCATTTAGTTAAAATGCTATTCAATTGTATAATGATGCGCTTGTTTTGTTCTAAAATTACACATTTTAATTTTAAAAAGAGAAACTGCACGCCGAAGTCTGATGATGAACACAAAGGACTATTCTTGTAATTGTTTATATTTTTTGTGTTGTTAATGAAATATTTATGAGTAGTATTATATTTATAAAACAAGGAGTATTTGTGATTTTTTGTTTTGAAGGTTGTTAAAAAACGCTACTTAATGTACTTTTGCACGAATTAAATCCCATTTATTATTATAAGACGCCTTCTGGTGGGATATGTCAGTCAAAACGCTAAAACAAAATGAGCCCTACACTGGACGGATATCAATATGAAAATCCCTCCGTCAGCAATTAGTAAATACAATCTAATTTTCTCACGCACCATATGTGCGGTGACATATGGTGAGATATACAAATACGGCCCTTATCTCAGCTTGGGCACGCTTCTACCTGTAATGAAATAAAACGGTAAAGTGCCAGGGTAAACAAGGATTGATAACATAAGGATCGTATAAATACCATGATATCCAGGATTTTCGTTTTGCTTACCCAAGTTGGAACGTAACAATATCCGTGAAAATTGTTAAAAAGCTGTTCGTTTGTTTACCGAAGAGACGCGTCTTGAAACTAAGATGAAAAATGAAGTCTGAGTTCTGTGCATGATGGAAGATGAGAGGAGGTTGATAAAAAAGGATCCAAAACGAGTATATAAGGTGAAATTGAAAAGATCAAAAGCAAATGCTAGAGAAAGAAATAGGATGCATGGTCTAAATGCTGCGTTGGATAGGCTGAGAAGGTAAAATTCTTAAGTTGTGTAAAACCATTAGATTAACGTTTCTACTAAAACGTTTTTTTTAATATACATTATCGAAATAATTATGATGGGAATAGGGGGATGTTCTTAGAAGATTAATGTAATGTTCAAGAATAATCAATTTCCTGGAAAATGTTATTACTTCCTATACCAAAACCGACGAAGAAATATGGTAATTTCGTAAAAATTCAAAAATGAGAGATGTTTTTTGGATGTTAAATGACATGTACCAATTTTGTGCAGAGGTTGAAGATTCGTCCTACCCGAGTGAACCTACCTAATCACGATTCAGTTCCGCATTTTAAACCGATTTTAATCGCCCCTTTTCTTCGAAACCTCCAACTATTGCGTACGAAGTATAGAGTCGATCTACTTGACCCTATTTTTTATTTCTTTCGAAATATATACAGGGTGGCGCATCGAAAACGAAACACGCATTTACTGGCAGCTCAGTTTTATTTTGGAAAAACGCTCAGACCCGTCGATTTTGTTTTCGAGGGGGACACAAGTTTGGCAAAAAATCACCTTAATACGTGCAGCCCCCTGGGCGGGGGTGACACCAACCCCTACAATCTTAAATGGAAAGGGGGGTCGAGTGATACCTTATTTTAAAGGTCTTTCAATTCCATTTATAATGATATAAAATACATGAGCTTTCAGTTCAGTAGTTTTGAAGATTTATTGATTTGAAGCTTAAAGTAGACTTTAATAGGTACATCGGATTAGTTGGTACTACTTTCAGAAGAAATTTGACTTAAGTAAATGCTTTTCTTCACTACGCCCATGGTTTGTTTATCATTTTGTTGTTGAAAACAACTATTTTAGCGTTTTTGTAGCAAAAAAGTTATTTCTTGAAGAAAGATAAGGAAATATCTCGTACTTATTTTAAATAGGAACTTAGTACATAGTTTGCGATTGATTTGACCAAACTGGATCAGATCGATGGATTGGTAGAAGAGGTGCCATTGAATGGCCCCCAAGATCGCCAGATTTATCACCTTTGGATTTCTTTATGTGTGGTCATTTAAAAAGCAAAATGTAGGCTACTCAGCCAACATCATTAGAAGACCTGCGACAAAGAATTGTGAATGAGTGCATTCAAATTATTCCTGAAATATTGCAAAATGTGCGTCAACGTTTTGAGCAAAATCTTTACTATTGCATGGAGAGTCATGGTGTCCATTTTCAACATTTACTTGCCTAACGGGTCAGTGCATTCTTCATTTTTAAATTACTTTGCTGCCAAAGTTATTGATCTCCATGTATCAGTTTTATTTAAGCTTTAAATCAATAAATCTTCAAACTACTGAACTGAAGTACATTAATTTTATATTATTATAAAGGGAATTGAAAGACCTTTAAAATAAGGTATCACTCGACCCCCCTTTCCATTTAAGATTTTGGGGGTGGTGTCACCCCCGCTTAGGGGGCTGCACGTGCTAACGTGATTTTTTGCCAAACTTGTGTCCCCCTCGAAAACAAAATCGACGGGTCTGAGGGTTTTACAAAAAAAAAAACTGAGCTGCCAGTAAATGCGTGTTTCGTTTTCGATGCGCCACCCTGTATATAAAATACTCTAATAAATTTAGCATGATCTGTCGCCCTTCTCCATTGATCGTATTTCCGGGCATTATATTGATGATTGATAACAGAATAACTCAAATTGCACGCCGATGTCAAGTAACTTGTCACTCTGACAAATATGATTGAAGGGAACTCATACGTAACAACAGAGTTTTCGAGACGGAGACAGAACTAAAAAACGTATGTCTGAGCTAACCGAACAAACGTTCATACACAGGGGTAGGTTGCATGTGTATGTATGAGGGAGATGGAGATATATGAAGGGATACAGGTAGTCTGACTTTGACCCGCCAAGAACGGTGATTACAACTATCCCTCAATAACTTGGGCCACCTTAATACTTCTCAGCCTAAGATAACCTAGGTCATTGTTCTAATTCAATCCGACCTATGCCTCAATTATTCAAAATTTTGCAATACGTACACCTTCCAAATCAACAAAAACTTTTTTAATATCCCTCACACAGCTTGATTAACATCGACCCGTCTTTTTTCGGAAAACTCTCTATTTCTAGTTGTATGCCTATCCAGCAAATTCACACAGACGCAAACTCTACTCCTCAAAAATTGTCCAAAATCGAAACGCTCCGTCTCGCTAGGAACTACATCGCAGCAATGACCCAAACTCTTCAAGAAGGCAGACCCATGGAAATGGGTCGGTACGTGAAAATATTGAGCAATGAGTTGAGTCAGACCACTGCGAATCTTTTGCAAGGAGCGTTGTTGAGTCGGAACGAGGGCCACGAGTATCTGGAGAGATACGTGAATAATTGTGAGAATTATTATCATTCCAAGTCGCATGGTCAACAATCGTAAGTATATTGATTTGGCTTGGAAAGTGTCTGTGCAGTCTTTCGTTATGTTCATTACTATTTCTTAATTTTCCACTCCATGTTATTAAAACGAAGCATTTTCGAAGCTGTATGTTTGAACTTTTTTCGTATTTCAATCTGCTGTATCTCCATTTTCCTTATTAGAAAATTTCATAACATAGTCTAATCATATTAGACAAAAATACCCCTGCTTTGCGAAATAACTGTAAAGTCTGGTTTTATTGATGCAAGTTGTTCAATTATTCCGGAGAAATTTGCTGTTACGATTAGAGTAACATGAAACATAAACTATCGTCCTATCAAAATCGAGCTACGACTTTGCGATATCAAGTTTTTTATCATCTCAGACTCAAATCTTGTGGATTTGCTTGCAGGTATTTTTGCAATTACCCAGGTACGTACGGAGAAGAAAATTATGGTCGTTTATGGGATACATACAAAGACAACTGGCCAGGAATACAGAACTGTATTTACTTCAATCACAATGGCAATTTTTTCAATGAAAACGTTTACCCTCATGACATTATCTAGTCATCTTGTTTGGAGTCGAAACATACGTTGATTCAGCATCAATTTTCGCTTAATTCGTCACGCTAGATGTAGCCCAAAAGAATGGAAAATGTATCTTGGTGTTACCTTTTTCACATTCTGGATTAAAAAAGAATCGAATGAACATGTAGCCATCCCAGATAGCACAAAACGTCCATAGTATACACTAATGATGCCTGAACGCCTGAGACGTTGAAAAGACGTCTTTAAGATGTCCTTAGTACGATGTTTCATGACACGATATAAAAGAAACATTTTTAAGACGTTTTCTTATGTCTTTTAGAAGGCGTGGTTAAAATATATAGCATTCGGCTTCTTAACAAGTTAGAAATATTAGTAAACATATAAGAAACCTTAATCTTGAACATCTAACTAAATGTTAAAGTAACATATATTTTTTCGTTTACCCTACCACGATGGAAAATATATACCACTTTTTTAAGATCCATGTATTTTTTAACCAATTTAATTATTTTAAACTTCGTGAAAGGACAAGTCCTTAAAGTTTTCAGATATATTTATTTCTCGATAACACCAATTGTCTTTTTCTGAAATCTTTTAACTTTAAAATTTATTGCATCATCCTGTTTTAACTCATCAATTCGCCACCAGCCACCAGATGACAATGCGTCTATAAAAGCGAGCACATCTCTATACTTACCTGTCGAACATCTCTAGCCCTGGCATCTGTCAATGCCATTTGTCATTTGTTTCAGTGTTTTTAAGGCGTAGCGTACGCGGGAAAAGTTCTTGCTTACGTATGAAGTTCCACTTCTTTGGAAATCAAGTAAATTGTAACTCGTATTCTACCCCCTAGTTAACATTAGAAAAAAGTGTTTTGTTTTTTATTGTCTTTGTGGCCTCCTTGATGGTCATAGTTTTATACTTCTCCGTGTCAGCGCTCTATTTTGAGGTTATGTCACAAACATCTATTTGCATCAAATTGGGCTTGCTTTTGAGTTATATCGTGTTTTATCAGCCTGAAATTTCGTTAGGCCCGTACAATTGTAGGGCGCGTTTATGGCCTCCTTGATTGTCATACTGCTTTCTCTCCTTCAAAAATTTCTAGATTACACTTGTCCCGTGTCAGCGTCAGCGCTCTCCTATTGTGAAGATTTGTTTTCCTTTTAAATTGTAGGAAATTTCAGGCTGATAAAACATGATATAACTCAAAACCAAGCACAATTTGATGCAAATTGAAGTTTGTGACATAACCTCAAAATAGAGCGCTGACGCGGAGAAGTAGAAAACTATGACAATCAAGGGCCATAAAGGCGCCCTACAATTGTAGGGACGACTGACGATACAGGCCTAAGAGCAGCACTAAGGACGAACTTATTTTTAAGAGACGTTTTTTAACAAAGTCTTTAAGATGTCGTACAGCATTCACAAGACGTCTTTACGACGTCTCTATTATCTCAAAATGACCTTTTTAAGATATGGTTGTGCTATTTTGGATGAAGCAAAAGTGCCGTTTAAGCACAAGAAATTACGAGTTCTAGTCATCTGTTTAATCTTATATACGTATTTATTCTGTACATAAAAATAGACAATCACTCAATATCAGTGTCCTCATTTTCCAATTTCATCCTTTTACTAGCTTCACCGTCTTCCCTTTCAATACTGTCCTCACTCATATCCATCTTCAGGATCTCCTCCAAATTCAAACGTCCGAACCTCTCGTACAACGTCCTCAATTTCGTACACTCTTCCTCGTCTTCACTATCACTGCACACGACATACTCCCTACTGTTCTCCTCTATATCCTCACAAGAAATCTCCTCGCGTAGACAGTCACTGTAACACGGAGATTTCACTTCTCCATCCCAATGCAGATGCAGCTTTTTGGCCTCGTTTTCGTATTTCTCCGTATCCACTGGTATACGATCCATCGATACGTCGCAGTACGGACATGGTACCGGTTCTTGGGTTTCTTGTGGATGGGCCAGAGACGAGCAATACGGACACTTGAAGGATGGAACTACCAGTATTGGCATCATGGAGATGCAACAGCGAGCATCTGCGTGGGGAGGTAGACACGTCGGGCCGAGAATCTTTACAAGGCGGTTAAGAAAAAACTATTCATGATTTATGGATTAAAAGGAATTTTTCATTTGGTCAAATCTGATTTACGGAATCGCTTAGGAAGCCAACTGGCTTACATGTTTAAATGCATGAATCAAAATATAAAAAAGGAGAAGGAATCTTGAATAGGTATGGGAACCGTAAGTTTTTTTATGTTTGTGTCATGGATGAAATAACGGTGTTTTTTATTGAATAAAAAAATGGAAAGTAATGGTCAAAATCCGCAAAAAAGGGAAAGTGGATTCGAGCAGAAAATAGGATAGGTAACCCGAGCAATCCGATTTCTGCTTGTCGGCTTCATCAGGCCCGAAATGAATGCACATATGCAACCACAAAAGTAGATACACATGCCCATACATCCGGATACGGGTGTATCCTGAGGAAACGAAGATGGAGAGGGAAAAATGACACAACAAGCGCCAACCTACACAAATTTTCTCTTTGTATATATACGATTCATAGTTATTGTCCAAATAGCCAGTTAAATGGAAGACTTTTCTTTGTTGTATCGAAAAATTATGCTAAGTGTACCCTTTTGCCTTACAATACTCAAGCTTTCGACAGACATGCTGCCATCATCAGGAGCTAAAAACGAATCAAAAATAGTCAAATAGCAACCATGCTCAGTTGATTAGAAATCTTTTTACTTACTCCGTCAGTGAGAATGGTGCTAGTATTTGATGTTAAAAAATGCAAAAGAGGACACATGGTAAGGTGACTATATATATATATATATATATATATATAGGTGAAAAATTAAAGCTTCCGCCTTTTGTTGGGTACTTCGACAAAATTTAAGCAAAGAGGACTCTTTATACTTTTTTTAATTCTCTCTAGCTTTCAATGGACTTTGCCATCATCATCAGGAGCTGCAATTACAATGATAACAGTAGCAACAAAAGTGTAAAATGAATTTAAATTGAATCAACTTACAGTAGTATGTGAGGATGTTGCTAATTGTTGTTTTCGTATAGGATGAGGGAAACGTCCAGTAACATGGTGAGAGCTGGATACATGGTACAATGGTTAAAATTATATAAAATATGACAAGACAAGTTAAAGACAGATTAAAAATTATTTAGAAAACATTAGAGCATTACGTCGTGAAGCCACTTGATGTTTGCACAAAATGGTGGTCATGGAATAATGAGTGAGATGAACCTTTGACAGAAGGCCGAAGGTTGTCAATGTCTGTGTTGAAAGATGGAACGAATTGTGGGCGTGTGCCAAAACGTTGCCAAATCACTTCAGATGATGTGATTTTCAGAATGTTATGTAAGAAATTGTTAAACCGACCAGAGGCAGTTGAATAAACTATATTTTAATTAACGGGAATTTTAAATTAACAATTATTAATGAATCGTGAGAAGAGAATTATTAGATTTTGAGTGGAATGAAATTTGTTGGTGGAATCGGCTAAAACACAGATTATATTTATGGTTGTTCATTTTACACTTTTGTTGCTACTGTTATCATTGTAATTGCAGCTCCTGATGATGATGGCAAAGTCCATTGAAACCTAGAGCGAATTAAAAAAAGTATAAAGAGTCCTCTTTGCTTAAATTTTGTCGAAGTACCCAACAAAAGGCGGAAGCTTTAATTTTTCACCTAACTGCTCTAGACGACAATGACCACGTCTCAAAATATATATATATAATCAAGATATTTTTGAATCCTGAAATAAAAATATAAATTTCTTATTATATGTGTACGCTATGAAAAGGATATTCTCTCCACACCAAATGCACTGCATCGTATCCGGATATCTCATTTCGTTGGCGACCTCCATAACGCTTCTTATATCATCTATAAACGTCTTTCCAACGTTACTTTTCGCAAGTATATTCTTGGCGATCATTTCTTTCAAAAGAAATTTTGCACGTCAATGCTTCTCATCTGGTATACACTCAAATCTTTCTGCGTCAACAATCTTTTCAGCCTTTGTACAACCAGTTTTATTTGAAGTAGATAATGGGTTAGTATGAACGGTTTGATGTCATAGTTTTTGACTACCGGGACAAAGTTAAACACCATTTCAGAAAGTTTTGCCAGTTGCCGTAGCAGTTTCAGATGGTATATGGAAAGTTTGTCATAGTTGAGGTCCGGTGAAATTCCTAACCATGGAAATCGCTTTTCTCTTATACATGTTATTCTGAAAACAGACGAAGAATATGATAAACTTTCAACGGTATCAAGAGCTAGATCAAATCGGTTATTTTGGGAGTGACCGATTATGGCGATAGTTAGGTTAATGCCGAATTGCTTTTGATGAGAATAGTTCCTGAAAGAATTTTAAATTGATATCAAATATTGTACCTTAAAACTTCCAAACAGTCCCAAGAATCTCTCAAACTTTCACTGGGGTTGTTCCAGAGTGAATCAATCGGTTTCATTTCCAAATTTTGGAAGACGATGACTTCTGCCTCAATGGCGCGTACTCTAGAACCATCTTGAGCCCACTGCTGACATAACAGTCCAAAAAACGCGAAGTTTTTCGAGAAAAAACAACCGTGGGTGCGGTACTTTTTCATATCGAACTTCAGGGAGATCTTTTTGTCTGTAACTTTTATCTTCTCATCCTGGACTGTTAACGTCAATTCCGTGAAAATTCCTGGTAGGGTGAGGACATAAATAGTGTTGCCTGTGTGATGAAGCCCTAGAAAATGATGTGTATTATAGAAGACTATATTCCACTATGTTTTTGATTCTCACCTGTTATGTAGACATCGTCGACATAACACGCTTTTTGTCCAAAAACATCTCCATTTTTATCAAGTCCGAATATTAAAATTATTCTTTGCTTCACAGCCAATATAAATGTGTAACTATCATGCTCCATCACAGTGATTTTATCAATAGCTACTTTATCAGGTTCATTCCAAAATATAGTTTCGTTATCCACGTTTGCAACAGGTTTATTTAAATTTGTTATGTGAACAACTTTCATCCTGCCAGATACATCTGCAAAACACAATCCTCCACCTGTCCAATAATGAAAAAGGATAGTTATAAAATTTAACAAAGGTTATTAGTTACAGAGCAACAGCGTATGCGAGTGCAATTTTTTTAAGAAGCAGAAGAAATATTGGTATCATTTATTACCAAATTCACTTGTCTGGTGCCAATGCAGGGTAACAATCCTCTCCAACCCTGTGGCATATCTACATAATATTTGCGGTTTCCAGTTTTGTCCAGAAACAAGTTTTTCTGGTACACTCCATACCGTTATGTCACCATTCATGTGCCCAACAATAATGTACAATGTTGTATTGAGCCTATTTTGAATTTGTGACCCCATGTAAAACCTAGAAATAAACACCATCAGGAAAAAAAATTTAATCTCCAACCACCATCTGTGACCTGCAGAAAAAGACTACAAAAGTAAATCTTACCTGTTATAGACACAAACTGTATCCTATTCTTAAACTGTCTGAGTTTTATTTCAATCGAAAACCGGTTTGCACACTCCCACTTTTGCTTAGCCTCGTTTATTACCTCCTCTAATATATTGGAAATTGTCACATACTCGACAATTTCATTTTTATTAACATATCGCACATACAATTCTAAACTGTACACACTATTTAACACTGCTAAAATACAACCTGTAGTATCAATTAAGCCTTGTGGTGACCAATCAGCTTTAAGAGGGAAAATGTCTAATTTGTTGGCGTGTTTTAAATTTACAGAGTATTCACTTGTTAGGGCCAATTCGTACAAGTCTTTTCGTTCTACATAGTTACTGAAAGAATTCACATCTATGTCTATGTTTTCGCATGCAGCGTAGGTGGATACTGGCAAGAATAACTTTTTACACGAAAACTGGGGAAAACTGTAAGATAAGTCGCCCCTCAGTGTCAATATATAAATCCCTTGGTCAGTTAATACAAAAAAATCGTTGTTTTCTGATTTACCACAGGCATAGTTTGTAACGTATGTGGTACTTAGTTTAAAACTATCGAGGAACTTCAAATCTAAGTTCATGTTTGGTGTAAGGTTTTCTAAAAACCCACAGATGTAAATAATGTAAAAATATGCAGTCGGCTCGTCACATTTTTTGAGGTTAACCAATTTGTAAACAAAGTTCGAACCGGATTCTAAGTACTCGCAGTAGGTAATCCACTGTTGCCAGATCCTCAAGGTATTTTTCAACAGGTAACTATGACAATGCTTTGATAACTTGAAGTTATTTTAAGTAAGCTTATCCAGCTTTACGAATTCCGACAACAGCACTGAATAAGTAAAATATTACCTTACGAAATAAGCCCCTCCAATGTTCGCCGTAACAGATTTTTCTCGTTTCGATAACGGAGGATAGTATCGCTACTGTGCAAAATCGTAATTAATATCACAGCGAACAGCAAAACAAGTGTTCCCTATTGATGAACGTATTTTGCCAGATAGAATACCTACGTTATTCAATGACATCGCGCTGCTGAAGAGGCCACCTTCATGAGTTTGCAGAGACAGGGACATATTTGGAAGTAGCTGTCTACAGTTTTGGTCTGACGTCTCCGTTTTGGTCAGAACTGCCTTCGGTCTTCATGATAATCCTGCCATCAATATTTAACATTAAGAAAAATAGTTTGATTTGACAACACCGAATATGCTTCGAGTACCTAGAATGCCGTGGTCTATGTGTTACCAGTGTTGCCGACCATTTTTATTAGGGCTGCTTCCGATTTCAACCTAACAGTTACGAACAATGAAATCAGTCATAAGGTGGTCCATTTGGGCCGTATCGTCAGTCGTCCCTACAATTGTAGGGCGCGTTTATGGCCTCCTTGATTGTCATAGTTTTCTACTTCTCCGTGTCAGAACTCTATTTTGAGGTTATGTCACAAACATCTATTTGCATCAAATTGTGCTTGCTTTTGAGTTATATCATGTTTATCAGCCTGAAATTTCCTACAATTTAAAAAGAAAACATATCTTCACAATAGGACAGCGCTGACGCTGACACGGGACAAGTGTAATCTAGAAATTTTTGAAGGTGAGAAACAATTACGACAATCAAGGAGGCCATAAACGCGCCCTAATTGTAGGGACGACTGACGATACGGGCCTTCGTAAAGAAGTTGCGAATGTGCATCAGCCCTTGGACTAGCTAATTCCTGTTGTCATTTCCTTCTAGTTGCAGAATACGCATATAATGACGATTATACTATCTAAATGGCGGACAAGGATACTCGTTTCTTTGCAATGTGTTTTAAGCTTAATCTTTTTTATCAGTGACATTTGAACTATTAGACATTTCCGCCAACATTTAAATCTGAACACATCAAAAAACATAACCACAAACGGATTAAAGTGCCAAACAAAACATATGGGATCCGAATTTTGAGTTTTTTTTTTTATAATATTTCAAAATGGTACGGAACATACTCGCAAGTGATAATGTGTTTAAGCTTTTTCATTTGTGCTCCAAAAGATGGTAGTGGCGTAGTTTGGCTTGATTATAGGACAAGTGAGGAGGACCTTCAAATAATTTCGATTTCTTCGTTTGATCCAAATTGTTTCAGTGTGGTGCAGACAGAGATTATGTATTTTACCTGGCTAGGTCTCCAGCTAAACGTGACAAGAGATCTAGCTTTGATGATATTGAGGAAGACTTGATCCTCGACCATGCCAAACAAATTTCAAGAATGTTACCAGGTGGAATGAATATTTTAGGAATTGTTGTATCTCATCCTGAAGGTACGATTTTCCTCATTCTTGTTTCGATAGTAAACTCATATTAAATTGTCTTTTAGATGTAACGTCTCCTTTGCACCCAAAAGTAAGTCGTTATTGAGCAACTTGTGCAAAACATTAGACTCTAATAGATTTTATGGCAACGCTAAGAAAGAAATGATTATAGTAAGTTTCATCCCAAAACCTCAGAAGTATATTTGCAAAGAGT